CCCCAAAACCCCAAAACCCCAAAACCCCAAAACCCCAAAACCCCAGACATATTTATATCCATTGAATAATTTTCATTATTTAAAAAGAGCCTCAGTGATTATGCCTAATACTTTTAGAATAATCTCCATTTCTTATTCATGTCCTCAATTTCGTTTGAATTCTTTGATGTCTGATTCAACTTTATGCCTGGGTTGGCATCTATAGTCCAAAGTTAAAGGATTAAGGAAGATTAGACATTACTTTTAACAAGTCCTTCATAGTGATATCTGCCAAGTCTCCATTTGCCTTGATACCCTCTTCTCTGGTTCCCACTAATATCAAGCTTAGATAGTCTGGAGAGCAATTTTGAGGTTTGGTCATTGTCATCTCCTTCTAGTTGGATAATAACAGATTTTAAGCATTTAGCCCCAAGTTTATTCATTGACAGATTTAGCTTTGACACTGTTGCAGATTTACGAAACTCATTAAGATTTATCTTCAATGGATCTTTTTCTTTTCCTGATCTGGGGAAAATAAAGCAATTTTTGATATCTACCTTCTGAAGGTGACCAGAGTTATTGAGAATGGTTTCAAATTGCTTATCGCTCATCTTAAATCCTTGGAGAGTTATTATATTTTTCACCTTTTCAGTAATAGTCTTTACCAAAGCTTTATGGATCTTTTCTGATATTTTAATCTTGTTACCAAGGTTGCTTCTCAAACAAATTTGATCAATCTCTGGAGGAATCATAGTCTCGAGAAGAGTGCATACTTCTGTATCGTCCAGGTTCTCAATACTGTCAAATTGAAGAGCTGATACCTTAGGAAACTTTTTCTGTAACAACATTGTTCTAAACTTAGGATCTTGGTTAAGATCTATTCTAATTCGAGAGTTGGAATCAAACTCAGTTGTTGCTGTTTCTTCAAGTTCCTCATTTTCAGCAGTTGGTTTCATCTGCTCATAGCCTTGAATCTTACTAGTATGCTTAAGGAAGTACTGGGGGTATTGATAGCAATCTTTCATTCCAATATGTTCTTCCTTAAACTTGGTCTGAAAATCAAATTGCTCTTTATCCTGTCTTCTGACATTGAGAGCCTTGCTGCAGTGTTTCTCGATGCAATAGTCATATTCGTCTTTGGTACATAATTTAGTATGCAAAGTAATGGGATTCTCAGAATTTCCCATTTCTTGTTCATTCTCAATAATATCTGCGATCTTTTTAGCCTAAAAATTCAGTGATACTCTATATTGGTTTACCTTCTGCATTATCATAACTTTGGAAATCTTTTTAAATACTATAAAGGTGAGGAACAAGACTTACAGGCAGGAATGCTGTTGTTATTTTTGCTCTTTTGACTTAATATCATGAATCTTTCTACCTAGAGATTACCCATGGAACTTACAGTATTGTTGGAATTCGCTCCAGGGAATTCTTTTCCCTGTCTGGGACTCCACTAGAGGGAAGATCAACAGCTGTAAAAAGTAGGCTTACTTTTGACAGTCTTAATCTTCTCAGTGAGGTTTATAAAATCCTTCCTGATCTCGTTGTACTCTTTCTCAATCTTTTCATCCGAAGCTTCAATACTCTAGAAGTGAGAATAGGAAGTACAGTAGATGGGTACGTGAATTTGTAGAGGAAAAGAAGCCTCATCATGGAGTTAATTAAGCTATCTAGAGTTAGAAGAAGACAACTTGCTTAGTTCGACCTTGTTTACATTTCCTATTATACTCTCGATGGGTTGCAAAGGTCTCTTACAGGCACTCTAGAAATTAAACCAAGGATTACTTTTCATTGGATACAGAAAGCATCCGTTTCATTACCATCTGTAGCATCGTCTCTTTGACACTTTGTACAGTCAAACTTCAGATTTCCAAAGTCAATTTTTTCCTTCGGATTGTTGATCATTGCTAAAGTATGTTATTCAAAACCATCGATGGACTTAAAAATGCCAGTTTCACCCTGAAACTCTATCTACTATTCTCTATTTTTATCTGATGATTATAGTTTATAGAATCAGTATTTCTACAAAAAGACAAACATCTATTTTCCATAAAAAGTACGAATACTAATATTTCTTCGTAAATAAGCAGTAATTCTCTACATAAAATATCCACCTTGAAGAGTCGATGTTGGTTCCACTCTAGAGGATGAGACTAAAAGCTTTACATGATTTTTGTGATCCCTGGCTCTTGGGGAATTTCATATCTTGAGTCAGGGGTTTCATAATCCCCATAAAATTCATGGTCATCAAAATCTGGACCTATAAAGAAAATAATTATGTTATTTAAATACCTCCATCAGGAGTTGTTTCTATCTTTTCTTCCTCTGAATCTTCGAGGTCCATTTTATTTTCTTCCTTTGGAAATCTTGAAACTTCAGACTGTTTCCATGAATCTTTGGCTATAGATGGCTGTTCTTGTCTGAGACCTTCTGGTTCCATGAAGGGGCTAGGATTTTGAAGCTCGCTTTGATTATTGATATTCACCTATAATTTAGAATCAAGAGTTTAAACATACATAACTATTGGCAACTCTTTGCTTTATTCCAACATTTTCTATAAGATAGTATTAAAGGATCATGCATTATTTACAAACCTCTTAGGAAAGCATGCTCTTGTGTAGTATTACCGTTCTTTAAACCTTCAAAGTGGTCATCATCCCCTTTCTTGAGTATAGACTTGAGCTCTTTGCTCTGGTGCTCAGTATTATCATCAGAGCCTAAATATCACAATGCTATTAATACCAGTATTATCGTTTGAATTTTTCCTCTGAAGGTTCTTTTTCTTATTTTTACCCATTTGAGTGTCTAAATATTATAATAATCCTAGGATTTTGGGGTTTTGGGGTTTTGGGGTTTTGGGGTTTTGGGG